TATATATGTCCATGCTTCTTGGTGTTATTTCTGTTGTCAGTCTTAAAATGTTCCAGTGCCACTACTAGTTTTCCTTGTCCTGCCTAGGATGTTCCTGTACTTGAAGAGGAATAGATAATGAGGGTGATTCAAGCTTTTTCCAAAGCCAACAGTTTTCTCCCACTGACACAAACACATTATGCAGGTCCCTCTTTACACCTTAAAAAACTATTCAGGAGTTCCAGGTAAAACCCTCTTGAGCAGGTTTTTGGCACCCTTGAGGGCTACAGCAAGCTGTGGGGATGTCCTGATTCTACTGATGGAAATACGCCATTGGATACAGACGTGCACCATAAGATGTTGGCCTCTATTTTTAAATAATGGTGGTTGTCAGGCAGAGGCAGCATGAGCATTACTTTAAAAAGAAGAATTACTTCTTTTCACTGTATTTATCAAATTGTATTTCTATTCTCTCTTCTGGACTATGAAGCAAAGCATCAGTCTCAGTGATCCACTTCAGATGAGTCTGATTCTATTTTCTTTCTTCTTCATTTTTGGAAAGAGCATCCCTGTTATCATATTTCTTCCAAATCTTTATTCAAGATAGCAATCAAAATGCAAATCCTCTGACCTAGGTGATGTTTTGATGCATTCTGTTGCAAATGCAGTACATAATAGAATAAAAAGCAAGGGAATACAATGCAGTCCCATGTTGGAAGCACAGCCTGCATAAGCTGAGGAGGAATTAAAAACAGGAGATACACTGGAGTTGGAGGGAAAAACAAAATCCTAAAGGGCTTTCTACAATGGATATCACCTGACAAGGCAGAATTCATAGGACTGACCCAAAATGGGGAAGGTGCCTCAAACAGCAGAAGTTAGTGTAATGAAAAGGCAACAGATTATTTACTATGACTGTATTTTTATTATCAAGAAATGTGGAGAGGAACTGAGAGGAGATCATCTGCTGATCCTTAGACCAGACCTTAGGCAAACCCTGATTAATCAATGACTTCTGTTAGTCAATGACTTCTACTAGAATGATGCTAAATACTGAGTATGTTCTAGTCCTTATAGAAAAGGAAATTATAGAACACAACTGTGATTAGCAAAAGCTAGTTTTTGACTGTTGAACTACAACTCTGTAGAATAGGGTTCAAATCCCTGCTCAACCATGAAAACCTGCTGGGTGACCTTGGACAAGTCACTGTCAGTGTGAGAGGAAGGCAAAGGCAACCCCCTTCTGAATAAATCTTACCAAGAAAACCCCATGATAAGTTTGCCATAGAGTCATCATATGTTGAAAATGACTTGATGGCACACAACAACAAAAGCTAAATTAAGTAAATGTTGTCATGCCCCACCCCAGCTGATCATGGAAAATAGGAAAGCATTTAGCAATTGGCAAAGCATTTTGCAATTTTAGCAAAAAAAAAAAAAAAAAGACATGCCATTATTCACAGTATCATAGAATGCTAGGTTGGAATAAAACACAAGGACATTCTAGTCTAATAGATTTTTTTAAAAAAATTGAATAATTATTGAAAAATGTTTTTCAAGTGTTGAGAAACCCTGACCAGAGGAAAGCTAGATTAATTATATTTTTTGCAGTTTGGAACTTACTTTATACAAAATGCTTTTTCTCTGTAGAATATAATGTTTCTAGGCAGCAAAAGCTGTTTTCAGTGCAAATCAACCACGTCTAAATTTTGTGCCAGATATGTCCCAAACTGCAAATAGGCTTCAAAAACTGTGTGGTTTTTGAAAGCTCTCTTGCATTGAGGAGAAAATTGACAGAATTACTTGTTGCTTCCCTTAAGAAGAAAGTTATATATACACAGAGAGAGAGAGAGAGTTATATATATATATACACAGAGAGAGAGAGAGAGAGAGAGAGAGTAGTCTAATCCCTTGCTAGGACAAGAATCCCCAGCCAACCCATGCCATAGAGGTGGCCATCAAACTTCTGCTTTAAAAGGTCTAAGAAACAATAATCCACCATCTCCTAAAACAGTCTCTTCCAGTGCCAAACATCTCTTAACTCTCAGGAAGTTCTTTGTAACATTTAGCTAGAAATTGCTTTCTTGCACTTTTAATCAGCAGGGGGAAAATAGCTCACCACACCTTTCACATGATGTGAATGTGTATGTGCCATCAAGTTGCCTGCGGACTTTTGGAGAACCTATGAATAGCCCTTCAGATATTTACGGATGCTGTTCTTGAGATTTCCTGGTAATCTGTTCTTGACATTTCTTGCTGACTCCCCAAAATGATGAAAATGATCTGTTAATACAAACATGGACAGATGTTACCATGAAATATGTACTGCGGAAAACTCCCTTGACTTCTAGTTTCATAGAACTCTACTCACCAACTCCTTCCTTTTGTTTCCAAGTTTTGTTGATAGAATGTTGATATTAAATCCAGGGTAGACCTAAACACAGTAAAGACACTGCATCCTATCTGATCTCGAAAGCAAAACAGGGTGAAATAATAATAATAATAATAATAATAATAATAATAATAATAATAATAATAATAATAATAATAATAATAATTTTTATTTATATCCCGCCCCTCTGCTAGGCAATTGGGGCAGCGTACAGCATTTCAAAACATCAAAACAAACATTAAAGCAGATACATTCTAATCCCATCCCTCCTTCCTATTCTAGGCTGGGTGATGCTTGGCCTAGTGTCTCTCCCCCAGATGAACATCAGATAGTAATGGAGGGAGGGCTCTTCTTCTTATTCCAGGCCCGATGGTGCTGGGCCTAGTGTCCTCTCCCCCAGATGACACTGGATGGAATGGGTGAGCCTTATTTAATACTTGGATGGGAGAACACCAATGAATATTAGGTCCTGGAGGCTATATTTCAGAAGAACTGGCAAAACCACCTCTGAGTATTCCTTACCTAGGAAAACCCTATGAAATTCATGAGTTCACCATAAGTCAACATAAAACTTGAAGGCACATGCACACAAAGAGATGGTGCTGGAGCAGTTGATGTATTCTGCCAGTCCTTCATGTGAGAAAAAGATATATTCCCTTGTGGATTCTGGGTTTTCTCCAGCACTCCATGACATTCTTCTTGATATTCCATCGATTACTGCACCTGTATCTTATCTTTGTCCCAGATGCCTTACAAAAAGGCAGAAAATTACAATATAAACATTATTTCAACAGTGTTAGCAATTGCAAGCAATCCAGAGGTTCTTTGTCAAAGTATTGCTGCCACAAAGAACTTGTAATATACCGTATTTTTCGGCATATAAGACGCTCCGGCATATAAG